TCCTCTGTTTCAATGTGTTCTGGCTATTCAGGGCCCTTGTACATCTACAAGAACTGGGGCTGGGCTCTTCCCTTCACTGAAGGTCATTACATCTGTGACAAGGATTGCACAGAATTTTTCTGTTGCTTTGGGTAGCACTGGTGCTTTAACAATATTAATTCTGCTAAGCCATCAGTGCAGATGCCTTTCTGGGTTTGTCTGTCTGTTTGCCTGTCTGTCTGTTTGGTCTTCTTATGCATTATGTAACACTTTGTAGTTTTCTGCTCACATGTCCTTTACCTCCTCGTTTGTATGATTTTCCAAAGATATTTCATTGCTTTGTATGATATTATTAAAAATTAGTTGCTGCTTTAATTTCTTTTTAAAACGGTCTCTTGCTGGCATACTAAAGCAGACTGACCTTTGTGTGTTGATCTTCGACACCCCAATGAGCTGGTTGAGCTTCTTATGAAGAAGTTGCCTTTTGAGCTGGCGAGATGGCTCAGAGGTTAAGAGCACTGACTGCACTTGCAGAGGACCTGAGTTCAATTCCCAGAAACCACGTGGTGGCTCAGAACCATCAGTAATGGGATTTGATGCCCTCTTCTGGTGTATCTGAGGACAGCAACAGTGTACTCACATATATTAAATAAATAAATAAATCTTTAGAAAGAAGAAGAAGAAGAAGAAGAAGAAGAAGAAGAAGAAGAAGAAGAAGAAGAAGAAGAAGAAGAAATTGGCTTTTAAGGTGGCTCTCTGTGAGGTCTTGGCCAGCCCAATCTACATAGCTAGTACCAGGACAGCCAGTGCTACACAGAAAAACCGTCTCAAAAAACCAAAACCAAAACCAACCAACCAACCAACCAACCAAAAAGGTGCCTTTTTTTTTGTTTTTTTTGTTTTTTTGAGACAGGGTTTCTCTGTGCAGCCCTGGCTGTCCTGGAACTCACTCTGTAGACCAGGCTGGCCTCGAACTCAGAAATCCACCTGCCTCTGCCTCTCAAGTGCTGGGATTAAAGGCATGCGCCACCACTGCCGGCAAAAAGGTGCCTTTTATACTCATCATCCTGTAAGAATCATCTGTGGTGCGAAGCATTAGCTCTGGTATATGATAGTCTGCATCTAAAGAATCCACTATTCATCTCTTCTCCTAGTTACAGAGAGTTGGGCTATGTCCAGTCTTTCATAGTGCAACCTCATTTTTACATCACAGTGGGGTGGTTCTCAGCCAAAACCATACATGAGACTCATCTCTCTGGGAACCTTTTACAACGAACAGAAACAAACCTATATCCAGTGGTACTGATGCTGACTTAAAGTATGGCTTAGGGGCCAGGGGTTTGGGGACTCAATTATTTATTTGAGACAGGCCTTGTCAATTTATGTTGTCAATTTTAGCTTAGATTCCTGGGTTCAACCAGTCCCTCTGCCTCAGCCTCCTAAGGATCTGGTATTACATGTGCCTGCCACAGCATCCAGCTTTATTTGCTTGTTTACAGATGGGATCTCACTGAAGCTCAGACTGGCCTTGAACCCACAATCTGCTTGGTTTAACCTACAAACTGCTGAGCATACAGGCGTGTGTCAGCATCCTAGGGTTTGTTAGGCTTATTTTTTTTTTAAGATTTTTTTTAAAAAATAGCATTAATTGTCTGTCTGTGTGGACAATCATTATTCTCAACTAGATACTTAGAACTAGAAATGTATGCATCTGCTTTCCCTTGGTGAAATAGTTTTCTAGTATTGCTGAACCCTGCTAGCACAGCAAAATGTCTGTATCCTCATCCTTACCTGGGCGGGAATGCTGCTCCCCTGGCAGTGCCTGACATTGTCAGACTCCAGTTACTCTCTCACAGGACTTAAACGTCTTATGGTTTTTGCTCACTAATTAACTTTGCCAGGTTGCCGTGGCACATACTGTTAGCAGGTTCCAGGACCGTCAGGGCTACACAGAGAAACCCTGTCTTGAATACTCCCCCCAAAATAAATAATTACTTTTAGTTTTTCAACACTTCCGCATCACTGAGGACTGAGTCCAGAGCCTCACGCTGAGCAGAGGCCCCACCCATGAGCTGCACCCTCAGCAGACTCCCACATTTATAGACTATTCTTGTTCCCTCGTCCGTCCAATCTTAGTGATGGTGTCTTGTTCTGTGCGTTATATATTCTGGGGATGAGTCATTTGTTTACATTTTCTTCCAGTTTTTACATGCATGTTCATGGGGGGTTTTCTGTTCATGTATGTAAATACATGAGAATGTTGGGGAACACATATGTGCATATATATATATATATATGTGTAGAGGCCATAGAAAGATGTCTACATGTCTTCCTAGCTGGATCTCCACTCATATACTGAAGCAACTCTTTATTTCTTCGGTGGGGGTGTTGTTTTTGTTTTTCTTTTTTAATGTATGTGAGTACACTATCACTCTCTTCAGACACACCAGAAGAGGGCATTGGACTGCATTACAGATGGTTGTGAGCCACCATGTAGTTGCTGGGAATTGAACTCAGGACCTCTGGAAGAGAAGTCAGTGCCCTTAACCTCTAAGCCGTCTCTCCAGCCTGAGGCAACTCTTTCACTTGGACCTGAACTACCTAGCTTAAGGGGTTCTCTGTCTCAGGCCGCAGGGGCTGGGATGTAGCCCTGTAGCCACCTAATATTTACACCAGTGTTTAGAGGTGGTTGCCAGTCCCCATGCCTGCACTACATCCTCTGCAATACAGAGATAGGGTTTCTCTGCATAGACCTGGATGCCCCGGAACTTACTCTGTAAAGCAGGGCCTTGAACTCAGAGATCTAGCTGCCTCCGCCTCCAGAGTGCTGGAATTAAGGGCGTGTGCCACCACTGCCTGGCTTGGAGGAGGTTCTCTCCTCTCAGGTGACTCTAGCTTGTGTCAGGTTGATATAAAAGTATCGAGCACATTTCTACATCTATTTCTGCGTGCAAGGGGACCACATGTATCATGGCACATGTGTGGAAATGTGTGTCAAAATGTGGGTGTGAGTGCCAACTCATAGGTGGAGGCCAAAGGACACTGCGGGAGTCGGCTCCCCTATCATATGAGTCTCACGGATGGAATGCACGCCCTCATGTCATCAGGCTTCACCCACTTAGCCATCCTACCAACATAATTTTATATGTAAGAACTTTATTCATTTTTATTTTACTCAGGAATGTTGGCCAGCTCCACAGGCACGTAGTGTACCATATACATGCAGTGGCCTACAAAGGCCACAAGAGGGGGACAGATTCCCCTGGGACTGTAATCTCAAGCAATTGTGAACTTGCAGTCCACGTGGGTGCTGGGAATTAAACACAGATCTTCTGAAAGAGCAGAGTGCTCTAATTGCTGAGCCATCTCTGCAGTTGCTACACACATCATTTAACATTTTTTAAAAACAGGGTCTCACTGTATAACAGTCTGGCCTCAAATTCATGATCTTCCTGCCTCACCCTCCCAAGTGCTGTGATTATAGGCATGTCCATCATGTAGTTTCTCTCATAAAAAAATTAAAATAAAAATAAAAGAAATTCTCATGCACTTGAGATCATCAAAATCTTGTTCTTTATTAAAATGTTAAAATTGTACTTGTCATGTTTGGGTCTTTAATTCACATGAATTGGTTTCCTCTATACACGACGCAGTAGGGGTCCAATTTCACTTCTTTTCCCGGTGGTACCTAACTCTGTAGTGATTTAACCAAGAGCAAGCCATAGCACCTCCTCCCAGGTCCCCAGGTGCAATACCTCCTCTGACAACCAAGTTCATATATGTGCTGGCTGGTTTTATGTTAATTCCCTGTTTGCAGGCTGGTCCAGCTTCTTCTCTACATCTCTGTCTTCTTTAGAAATGTTTTAGTCATTGCATACTGGTAGCTAAACAGGTTTCTATTTTCTGTAGACTTTAATATTTTCTTTAGAAAGTGTGGGGGGGGGTTAAGAACACTGACTGCTCTTCCAGAGGTCCTGAGTTCAATTCCCAGCAACCACATGGTGGCTCACAACCATCTGTAATGGGATCTGAGTCCCTCTACTGGTATGTCTGAAGAGAGTGACAGTGTACTCACATACATAAAATAAATAATTCTTAAAAAAAAAAAAAGAAAGTGGGGGGGGTTGTAGCTCATCTGCTCTTTGCTCTTTAATCAGGGTACAGTTTATAAAAGGCTCAGGTTTCAGACTGAGCCAGCTCCCAGCAACCACAGCTCCCAGCAACCACAGCCCTCTGTGTTGAAGGACAAATTTTAGGACAAAAGTGGAACCTTGATATTCCATTAAGCATTGGAGATCCTGTTAGAAGTGAGATAGTGCAGGTTTAGATCAAGCCCATTTTTTTTTTTAAAGATTTATTTATTTATTATATATGAATACACTGTAGCTGTCTTCGGACACACCAGAAGAGGGCATCAGATCTCATTACAGATGGTTGTGAGCCACCATGTGGTTGCTGGGATTTGAACTCAGGACCTCTGGAAGTGCAGTCAGTGCTCTTAACCACTGAGCCATCTCTCCAGCCCCGATCAAGCCCATTTTACAGACGACGACAGTCCAGCTCTCTGTCCCACTATGGCTGTGCGTGTTTTGTCCGGCCTCATGTGCCCAGCCCTTCTCTCCTTGCTCCTTTAAAACCCTGGTTTCAATCTCCCCATCTGGTTTTTATCTCTGATTCTCTGCTGCCTGCTCTTTGATCCCATGAAGAAACGCTGACTCAGAGGAGGATGGGACATATCCTTGGCCACACCGTAGGTCAATCAGCCCAGACCCCGATACCTCCCTCGTCCCTGCATTTCTCCGATCCTGAGACAACCCGCACCTGTCTCCATTGACCATCTGGTGAGTTCTCAAGGCCTTCTGCTCTAAGGTATTCATCTCACTCAGCTCCTCAAGCCTCCTACATTAGGTTTCTCAGGAGCCACCAGGAGGCGCTCTCGCTACCAAGCACCCAACTCACCCTCCCCCCGGCGCACCGCCCCCTCCGGCTGCGGCCCCGCCCCTCCCGGTGCCGAGCCCCGCCCCGTCCGGCGCGGCCTGCCTCTCTTGGTTCTCTTGATCCCTCGGACCTTAGACTACGGCCTCGCCACATCTCCGGTCCGATCATGGGCTCTGCCGAGCGCCCCGCGCTGAGGTCGCCGTCGTCGCCGCCCCCTCCCCCATCGCCGCCGTCGCCGCTGCTGCTACTGCTGCCCCTGCTGCCTCTGTGGCTGGGCCTGATGGGGCCCGGAGCCGCGGCGGACGGCAGTGAGCCGGAGGCCCGGGCAGGACGGGGCGGAGCCCGTGCAGTGCGGGTGGATGTGAAGCTGCCGCGACAGGACGCCCTGGTTTTGGAGGGCGTCAGGATCGGTCCCGAAGCGGGTCCGGAACCTCTGCTGGGCGGCCGCCTGCTGCTGGTGAGCTCAGCCCTGCCTAAACTTGTCATGACCCTCGGATAGACCTTGCTGTCTTCATCCCGAACCTAGTCCTTGACAGCCCAGAATGCTGCTCCCCAGCATTCTGGGGTTCGCAAACCTGAGATCCACATGCCCCTTCCACACTCATTCCCACACCCTGACCTTTTGTGCTTTGAAGAAGACCCTGGCTGCCTCTGCCATTCTCCTTACTTCCCTCTTTTCGTGGCTCCTTGTTATACAGATGGATGTTGTGGATGCTGAGCAAGAGATACCCGTAGATGGCTGGATTGCAGTGGCTTATGTGGGCAAAGAGCAGGTCGCCCAGTTCCACCAGGAGAATCAAGGCAGTAGCCAGAAGGCATATCCCAAGGCTCTGGTCCAGCAGGTGCAAAGGGAAGGGGAGAAAGAAAATGTTTCAAAACATCTGCTAGAGCCAGGCTAACAGGTGGCCTGTGAGGAGCCTTCTAGAGAAGCCCAGGGCCCGATGGGTCAGCAGACACCAATTTGGAGCATTAGAGCAGTGTGATGGGGAGGTGGAGCGGTTTGCTGAAAAAGTGGTTCTGGTGATAAGAGTCAGGAAGGGTGAAGAGCTGCTTTGCCAAGAGTAGGGCACATGACAAGGATTTTGGATCCTACAGAGCGAAAGGGGTGTAAGTTTCTCACACACATGATAATGTGCAAATCTCTTAAAATCAAGATTATCCCTTATGTAACTATGGTATGGGAAAGTGGGAAGGTTGACATCTCTAAAATGTTGTAATCTATGTTTCATAATTAAATATTGCCTTAGTCTACAACCATCATGTGTTGCCTTTCGCTGTCATTATCTCTTCAGCCTCTAAACCCATCCCTTAGCTGTGGCTTGACATCAGGGAGCTTACAGCTAGTCTATCCAGAGGTCAGGCTCCTGAGAGCTGGGGCCACAGGTAAGGCAGGTGTATGCAGCCTCTCTCTCCCCTTCTGTCTTCCCTTGCAGATGCGCCGAGCCCTCTTCCTGGGAGCCTCTGCCCTGCTTCTCCTCATCCTGAACCACAGTGTGGTCCGAGAGGTAAACCGGCCTGGACTGGGAGGGTGAGCAGGTGAGGGGCAGGGGACCAACCCTGCTGACCCCGCCTGTCTTCTACAGTTGGATATATCCCAGCTTTTGCTGAGGCCAGTGATTGTTCTCCATTACTCCTCCAATGTCACCAAGCTGCTGGAAGCACTTCTGCAGTGAGTCCCGTTTGTTCTAGGTGGTCTGATGCCTGAGAGCTGTGGGTCTCTTGCTTTCCAGCGGGCTCTAGGGGAGGAGGCTATCTCTGGAGAAGACCCTTACCTGTTGGCCCTTAAACTGCCATCTAAGTTTGAAAATGGAGGAGGGGAGGGAAAGGAGAGGCAGGGTCTGGGAAAGGAGCTGCTCTGTGGGCAGAAGGGACTAGCCCAGCATGAGGAAGCTGGATGCCTGTTTGACAGGCTGCTCCTTGGCCTGGCTGGGTAAAAACATGGGCAAACAGTGGTCAGGAAAAGTTTGAGAGCCAAATCAGAAGGCCTGTGGCAAAAATATCCATGGGTATCCACTGCAAAGCCAGGTAGAGGAATATAGGCCTCCCTTCCCAAAGGCCTTCTGTCTGCTCCCCACCCATGATTCTCCTCTCAGGAGGACCCAGGCTACTGCTGAGATCAGCAGTGGAGAGTCCCTTTCAGCCAACATCGAGTGGAAGCTGACATTGTGGACTACCTGTGGTCTCTCCAAGGATGGCTACGGAGGCTGGCAGGACGTGGTGTGCCTGGGAGGTGCTCAGGCCCAGGAACAGGTAGGCACCAGTGGATCCTAGGACAGCCCCGAATACCTTAGGGCTGATTATTTAGTAGGTCATTAGCAGTGCATTGACACTTGGCCTAGGGTAGTGGGCAGTGACAGCGACTGATGCTTCCATGTTCTCTGCTCAATAGCCTGCACAGCTCTGGTACTGGCCCCAGTTTTTCCCATCGGGGATAGAACCCATGGCCATGCACATGCTAAGCAAGTGTTCTGGTAGACCACCTCACCCCCACCATACTGTGTGTGTAGTCTTGTTTTGCTACCTGTGTGGATTACTCTCCAGCTCCCGTACGCACCCTGACTTCCTGCCTCTGGGCCTGGCCAGCGATTGGTATTCATTCCTTTTTTTCTGTCCACACAAGTCCTTGGCCAGCTAGTGGACCTTTTGCCACTCATCCTGCCTTCCTCCTTTGGGGATTTGCTCCTCTGTTCATAGCCCCACTGCCTGCTCAGCATGGCTGGGCTTTGCCAGGCTTTCACACTGCCTAGGAGATCCAAGCCTGTCTGGATGTTGGAGAGAGTGACTTTGTGTCCTCCTGGCTATGGCTGTGTTTTGTGTCTACATCTTCCAGTGCTTGGCTTCCAGGGGTTCAAGGTGTTTAGTCCACAGCATTTCTTGAACCCCAATATGTACAGGTTGAAGGGGAGCAGACATACTGTCTTCTGCTAGTGCACAGATTCCAATAGTTTGTGATGTGGGCCAGTTTCAAGTCAGACAGGTTAAAAATCTCCGCTCCTGAATTTTAGGTGAACCACTTGATGCCGGTGCTTTCATGTTCCTTACATGCTCTCTCTCTCACACTGGGGTGGACTCTACAGACCTCTGGGCAACGGAAGTACTTGGTGACGGACGGGGGACAGGTTACATCTGAGAGAAGAACAGACTGGGAAAGGGCCTCCATGGACTGGGGGTGAGAATGTATAGTTTAGTCCAGGCTGGCAGGGACAGAGGACAAAGCTGAAGAGCTGTGAAGGTACTGCCGGCCAAGATGGGGGTAGCCTATTCAATGTGATATGGCCATGGCAGGTGAGATATCCGAATGATAGCTGGCCAGGCATCTCTAGTAACTGCCCTGGTGAACAATGGACTCCAGGCCCAGCTATCGCCCTGAGCTTGGAATGAGGAAACAGTGCTGCCCTAATGGAGGGACCCTGCCTGTCCTCTGCTTACCTGGGGCTTCCACCCTGGCTGCTCCAGACCACGGGCTTCAGAGAGGCTCTGCCTGCTGGCTGCTCAGATGCTCTACTGATTGGCTTGCCACACTGTAGCACAAGACACTGCACAGTAGCTCCAGCCTGCACTCTGGCTAGGAAGCAGGTAAAAACGGTCATTCTATAGGGCTGACCCACAAGCTGGCAGCAGGCACAAACTCTTCTTCCAGGTCACAGCAAAAAGAATCTGAGCCAACCTTGGGCTCAGAGAGAGCTTCCTGGAATAGATGCCACCACTCCACTGTGATTAGAGAGGAAAGAGGCTGAGTTACAGACGCCTCTAATTACCCCCAGTGCTTTCACCCCAAGCAAGAGCTAGTTTTGCTGCATTCACAGCCTGGTTTTGGATGGTGGCTCTTTTGTCCAATCATTTCAGCCCCTCTCCCCTGCTGTGATGGGAGTTGAACCTTTGTTAGGAAGAACAGTCCCAGGATTTATAGGACCGTTTAGATATCCTACCCTGTATTCTGTGACAGAGCTACTAGGAAAGCTGAGAGCTTTGAAGTGAATTTTTATCCACAGCACATCTAAACTCTATGTGAAATGGCGTGCCTGTACGGGACTGAATCTACAGTATGACTATGTCATACTAAAGGGTCTTGAGGACTACCCAGGACAACAGCAAGGGAGCCCATGGCTTATGGGTATTAGGAGGGGGGAGCAGGGGGAGCACTCACCCTGAGCATCAGGGGATGCTCCTGGAGCAGTAGGTCAAAGGTGTGAAGAAAAGGGACAAGGAACATCAATTGAGGACTTCAAGACGGGAAGTGTGGCAAAGCAAGGGATAAGGGAGACCAGGCATGGCTGACAGATCGCTGGTGCTGTCCGGGGGTGGGGAGTGCTGCGTGCTGCTGGTTGAAGAGAAAGTGGTTATAGCACAGAAGCATTTCCACCAGCTTTTTCTGTGGCTTCCCGTGTGAACATCAGCTTAGATGAAGGTGAGAGGAGGATATAGGGACTGAGAACAGACAAGGACGACATCTATGCTGGGGACAGAGGAGCAGGGTATTAGGGAGACATGTGACTCTCCATGGAGCTGGGACAGACCCAGAGGAGCACAGAGGCCAGTGGGATGGAGACTTCAGAAGAGAAAGCAAGGAGCCTGCACAGACAGAGGCCATCAGGGTTTCTGGGGGGTGGATATTCCTAGGGTGGAGCATATGGAATGTCCTCAGTGCCCCTGACATCTGCCTCCCTCCCCAGAAGCCCCTGCAGCAGCTATGGAATGCCATCTTGCTTGTGGCCATGCTCCTGTGTACAGGCCTTGTGGTTCAGGCCCAGCGGCAGGCATCAAGACAGAACCAGCTGGAGCCTGGAGGCCAGGTGGGAGCCAGACTGGAAGCCCTCATCCCCACAGCCCTTGGGCCTGCAAGACTGTGGCCATCCTCTTCCCACAGGAGGATTTGTTCAAACGCCGTGTGATTCAGAGATTAGCGTCCCTCAAGACTCGGCGCTGCCGGCTGAGCAGGGCAGCACACAGCCTTCCAGAGGCGGGCACAGAGACGTGTGCTGTGTGTCTAGATTACTTCTATAACAAGCAGGTTAGTGCCTGGGCACAACCAGCCACAAGCTAACTTGTGGCGTCCCCAATCCTGCTCCCAAGAGACTCTCAAGTCTCCTTCAACCAGGACCTTCTTCCAGTCCTTATTATGGCTGCCAAAAGCATACCCAGGGATGGCCTAGGAGTTCTCTGGACAGTCCCAGTGAAGGGCACAGGTCTAGCCCCCATCTAGAGCGTGTGCCCCTCTTCCCACCCTGTAGTGGCTCCGGGTACTGCCCTGTAAGCATGAGTTCCACCGAGACTGCGTGGACCCCTGGCTGATGCTACAGCAGACCTGCCCACTGTGCAAGTTCAACGTCCTGGGTGAGCACCAGGGGCCAGGTGGGATCCTGGGCTAGCTCCCTAAGCCCCACCTGATACCTCTCTCCCTGCCCTTCCTTTCCCTACAGGAAACCACTACTCAGATGACTAACTGCCCCAGGGGAGATTCTGTACTTCAGAATGGACCCTTCCCAGCCTACACCACAGGAGAGTGGGATGGACAGACCAGCTAGCCCTGTGGGCAAAGGAAAGGTCCCACCATGCCCATGGCGGGTAGGAGGAACTCACAGCTCCAGGCTGAAGACACAGAGCCAGGACCCAGCAGGCAAGGAGAAATCTAGACTAGAGCCCTTCTCTGCAAACCTGGGGTATTTATGTCTGTCCTCATAGGCAGCTCCCACAACTCTGGGAAAGAAAATATGGCCATTACACCTGTCCCCAGCACTCTGGAGCTTCAGTGTTGAATTTTATGCTATTTATTGGGGGATAGATTGAGGGAAAAGAGGTGTGGCCATGGGACCCACTGGCATGACCCTGTCTTTCGGGCCATGACCTGATCAAATCAAAGGTGTGATGTTAAGGTGAGCCTGCCCACTCCCTGCTGCCTGTCCAGCTGGATTCTTCTAGTCTGGCTGGGATCAGAGGCCTTAGAAGCCATCTAGTGCTGTATTTCTTGGTTGGGCTAAATGTTACTGACCAGGATACTTGAGGCCACAGAATATATGTGGTGCATCTGCCAAGGGCATCATTAAAAAAAAAAAAAACCCACAAAAACAAATGTTTGAGTAGGGAAGTTTTAATAGTAAAATAAACATGGAATATATTTTAACATAAAATATAAATCTGTGTGATGTTTTAAGATGCTAAGGAAAAGGTGAGTATGTGGTGGCATATGCCAATAATTCAGAAACCTGGAGGTGGAGAAAGGAGGATTAAGAGTTCAAGACCAGCTGGGCACAGTAGTGCACCCCTTTAATCCTAGCACTGGTGAGGCAGAGGCAGGCAGATCTCTATGAATTCAAGAACAGCCTAGTCTACATAGCGAGTTCCAGGACAGCCAGGGCTACACAGACCCTGTCTCAAAATAACAAAACCAAACAAAAAGTTCAAGGCTAAACTGGGCTACTACTGGGCAGTCCCTGTAATCCCTTGTTCTGTAGCCTCTGGGAAGGGAAAACAGTTCCTTGATCCTTGGATGCGTAGTGAGTTTGAAGTCAGCCTGGGCTACTCTCAAAAAAAAAAAAAAAAAAAAAAAAAATACCAATCACCTTGGTTTCTTTTGCTGGAAACAGGAAGAGTTCTTACATTCCTCAGGCCTTGCACTCCTGGGCTTCACGACCATGCCTTGCACAATCTTTAGAATATTGACTCTGAGAAGTTTTAGCCCCTGTGAGTGGGTTATGTACTTGCCTAGAATGCACAAGGGCCTGAATTCAGTTCTCAACACTAAACAACAACGACAAGGAGAAGAGCATCTGCCAGCGCATGAGCCTGTGGAAAGCAGGAGGAGGTCAGGGACTGAGGGGACTCCATGCAGGAGATGGACATTCTCTGCTGCACACCCCCCTTCTCTTTTTCTGTTTGAGACTGAGTCTGTATGTGGCCCTGGCTCTTCTGGAGCTTGCTATGTAGACCAGGCTAGCCTCAAACTTAAAGAGATCCTCCTGCCTCTGCCCCCTGAGTGCTAGGATTAAAGGTGTGCTACCATGCTCATCTCTACTGCCTTCTTGAAGATGGGTGGTATGAATGAGAGGCCAGGCAAGAGCAGCGAGGGGTGGGGACCCCGGGCCCACAGCCTAAGCCTAAGCATTAAGCTCTGTCACAGCCAGGAGCTCATAAGAGGACTCTTGCCTGGAGCCATCTAAAGGAGATGTCCTGAGTGATACCTTAATTTTCCTCTCTGAGCAAAGATCCTGGTCTTCTTTGAGACAGACGGACTTCTGGACTTTTTTTTTTATTGTTTCCTATTGTTCTATGCCTATGCCAGTCCATTTGTTGTCTTGATTTAGGTCCTCGCTATATGGCATAGGCTAGCCTCAAACTCTCAGTCCTCCTGCTTCAGTATCTCTAGGGTATGTGCCACCTAGATGAAAAGGGTCACATCTGACTAACTGGCGCAAGTGAGAGCTAATAAGTGAATGTTGACTCAGCAGAGGCCTGGGATATCCGGCATTCACAGGCCTCTCTCAGGGAGCTGTGCCCAAAGCTGGCTCTCCCCTGGTAGAGTAGCTTAGAGTATCCAGTCTTCCCCAGACCCCTTGGGCTGTTAAGAAGCAGAGTTGGGCCAGCAGTAGTGGCACACACCTTTAATCCCAGCACTTGAGGGGCATAGGCAGGTAGATCTCAGTGAATTCAAGGCCAGCCTGGTCTACAGAGTTCTAGGATACCCAGGACTACGCAGAGAAGTGCTGTCTTGAAATACACCCCTTCCAAAAAAAGCAGATTGGGAGAACTGGCCACTGATCCTTCACTGTAATCTTAGCACTCAACCCTACAATAAATAATGCCATCCACACTAAGTGAGTGTGCCCTGAGAAATCCTCAGTAAAAATTTAGAGCCTGTCCATCACAAACAAAGTGGCTCAAGGTAAGCTAGTGGCTTGCTTAGAAAAATGACCACTGTGTGCATGGTATGACTGACAGCATCCTTGCTTGATCTTGTGTCATCCTGTACTGTGTGAGCCCCAAAGTCTAATTCTCATCAAATCATGGCTGGCTAAGGTGTCCAAAGGCCTGGACTTTCCTCCAGTGGTTTGGTGGGGCTCTGACCTCTAGGACTGAAGAGGGATCTCTCAGTAGTTCCTAGAGGAACAACAAGCTCCTTGGTGAGCTGCCTGGTGCCCTTTGGTCCTGTATCAGATGCAGAGCCTGAGTAGAAGGCAAAGGCAACACTGTTGCTGAACCGAGGGCAAGTTCCAAGCCTAGCTCCTGGTTTCAGATGTGTCCTTGCACCCCAAGCCCTACCCTGAGTGCTGCTCAGTGAATCCCGAGTTAGCCCTCAGCCCTTTCTATGGGACACAAAGGCTGTGCTTCACTTGGCTCAGGTGAAGCACACTTGCCTCTCAATGTGGTCCTCCCACACTGCCTGTCAGGATGCAAACAAGAAGCTCCCAACTCAGTGCCAGGGTTCTATTGGCCAGTGACCTGCATGGTGGGATCACAGAAGACCTTACCCAACAAGAAGGGAAGGTCTGTTCCCCCAGCTCAGCCACGCTGAGGCCAAGATCGCTGTGGGCAGATGGCTGGGGCTTTTATTCCATGGGGGGTTGCCAGCCACCTGCCCTCCAGCCCTACCCCTGCTGCAGGTTACGTGTGCCGCTCCTGGGGCTGGTATGGAGAACCAGCCTGACGGTTTGGCGAAAGCTTTCTCCTCAGCCTGGCCAAGGCCCTTATGGGGTTCTGGGTGCAGGTGGCTGAATAGGTTCCATCCCCCAAAGAGGACTTGCTGGGTAAGCTGCCGGGCTGCCGAGAGGGGGATGTTCGGGGCCCACCAGGATGGGTCCTGCCTGTACTGCTTGTCCTGCTGCCAGGAGACTGCCGTCTGCCTGTGGGTCTGAGGAAAGACAGGAAAAACATCCCCTGTGATCAAAGGCACCATACCACTTATGATTTATCTGCCCAGCTTCTAAGAAAGTCTTACTTACCCTGAGAATGTACTCTGGGCCTGGGCTGGGGGTGTTGCTCCCTGGATGCCCTTGTAGGGAGGGGACCAGAGCTGGCCTTGTGGGACCATCTGCAAAGAAGGTAACACAGCACAGAAGGGCCCAGGAATCCCTCCCTACACTACAGTGTCATAAGGTAGATAGGGAGGCAGAATCCCAAGCTAAACCCCCAAGTCCTCTTCACTAAGAGACAGGGCTTGGGAAGCCACTCAAGGGCCATCCTCAGCTGCAAACCCTTGGGCAGGTAATATATACTGACTCTTGAAGTGAACTAATGAGGGGCTGTAGTGGGATTGGGAGCTGGAAGGCTCAGTCTTTCATACTCTCATACTTTCTGATGTATGGAATTAAGTTTTCAAGCGTGGCCTAAAGCCCTGCCATGGGGTAGGCTCTCATGGCACAATCTCAAATCCTGCCTGGTAGGGGCCCTTTCCGAATAAAATACCCAAGCCCTTCAGATGTTCACCTTGAGGCCTCCCTGCTGGGCCACCTCTCGGATTTTGGTCAACATTGACTGCAGCCGTTTATTCTCCTCCTGTAGAACCTGGATACGGATATCATTGGCTTGCACTTGCCTCTCCATGTCATGGGTGACATTGCTAGAGCCTGCAGAGACAGATTTGGAGCCTCGCCTCACTGGATCTGCCTCTTGTATCCAATTAATTGGACAGGGCCTCAGAGGATGGAGGGGGTAGCACCCCAGGCATCCAGCACATCCTCCTTCTCAGGCTCTTCTTCCCACCCTGATGCCAACCTACTGTGACAGTGAGAAGTACATTTTAGAATCTGAGAGCTAAGTGAGTCCTGGATTTGCAGATTTGGATGTTAAATAAAACAGTGGATCTTGGGGCTGAAGAGGTGGTTCAGTGTCTATGAGTCCTGGCTATTCCTCTAAACATCCTAAGTTCAATTCCCAGCAATCATTGTGGCTCACAACCATCTATCATGGGATCTGATATCCTCCACTGATGTGTAGACATATATGCAGACAGAGCACTTATATACATAAAATACATGAATAAATCCTAAAAAAGAATTGAATGGATTTTATTCGAGACCTGTCTTTGGCCTGGCAATGGTACTACGGGGTCTTGGATCACAGGAGGCTGTCATGTATGGTCTTCCTTACGCTATGTATGGTGGATGAATGAAAGCATCCAGCTCAATAAACTCAAGCACGTTGCTGCCCATGCTAGATCTCAGCTTCCTAGTTTATAAAAAGGGTGTTGGGCTGGAGAGATAGCCCAGTGCCTAAGAGCACTTCCAAAGAACCAGGATTTAATTTCCAGTACCCACAGGGCAGCTCACAACTCCAGTACCAGAGGACCTACTCTATCTTCTGGCCTTCAGGGACCAGACACCAACACGGTACATACATACACACATACATATATACATACATACATACCCCCCAAAACATCCATACTGAAAAAATGATTTTAAAATAAATTTTGTAAGACTGGTGGTGAGATGGCTCAGCAGCTGAAGAAAGATGTTTGTCACCAAGCTTAGTTCCTGGACACTTTGGACCCAAATGGCAAAAGGAGAAAACCAACTTCCATGTTTGTCTTCTGACCATACTCCTGCAGTGGCAGGTGAACACACACAACGTAAATGTACAAAAAGGTTTTTAATTTTAAAAGAAGAGGGTCCAGGTCAACCTCATGAGGCAGCTGCGGGCAGCAGCCGGGGCTGGCACTGAGTGCTCAGCAGACTGTTCACTGTGACCAGCTGAGCAACACTGGATCTCCTGACAGCTGTAGGGAGGGATCCATCCAACCCAGGGCCTTAGAACTCTAGAAATGCTGGCAGGAGAACAGAGATCACCTGACAGGATCCTGTGCCAGTATAGATGCCCAGTGCTCCTTACCATGGGGCCCAGGATACTGGACAGTTGGCACTGTATCCTTGAAAATGGTCCCATGGTATATGACAGTAGGAAAGGAAATCTGGGGAGTTGAACAAAGCCTGGCATGTGCGCAGAGCATGTGCTGAAGGAAGACAGGCCTATGCCTGGGTCCACTAGGGTGAGAAGGGCACTCACTTTGCCCTGCATTTCTATATGTTGGCTCCAGAGAGGTGAGCAACAGATGAAATCCTTGTGGCTCATGGTGGCTCTAGAGCCACACAGCTCACCCTCCTGCCTGCATCTCCTCTTGCTGAGGTGAGAACAGTAGCAAACCCCAGTCACATCCAGGCAAGCTCCCTGCCCAAACAGATCCCACCCTACCCTCAGCAATACCCCCCAGGCCCCTACTTTGGATCTGGGCCTCCTCTGGCTGGTGCAGGTCTGGGAAGGCCACCAGCAGTCGCTCCCGCTCCTTCAGCTCTTCCAGCTGCCGTTGCAGCTCAGAGATGGTTAGCTGCAGGTCTGTAGTTACCTGTTCCAGGTCCTGTTTTTCCTGCTGCAGACTTTGTAGCAGTTCCTGGGGCAAAGAAAAGCTCAGAACTGGCTCTAAGCTCCCTTGGGAATACAGAAAAGGCCCAGGGACATCAACAAGTTAGAGACTCCTCAGAGGTGGGGACCGCCTTCCCTCACCCTACCCCACCGCACCTGCTGGGCCTGTAGCTGGCACTGTCCCTGTTCCCTATCACTCTGGAGGCTCTGCAGCTGCTCCTCCAACTCAGACCGCTGGACCTCAGCCTCATCCAGACTTCCCCGAAGCTCTTCCCGCTCCTGGTCCAGACAGTCCAGCTGCTGTAGCAAAGTCCTCTGCTTAGCCTGCAGGGACTAAATAGGGATGGATAGGCAGGGCAGATGTAAGTACCCTGTGGCCAAACTAGCCACCTTGAACTAAAGAGGCTACGGTGTGGTGTCTACAACCCTCTGTGCTATGTTTGGGTGCAGAGACCAGCACACAGATGTTAAAGTGCAGAAGGAAGGCAACAGGTAGATGTATACCCAGTTGGGACAAGACCAGGATAAGACCAGGACCCACTGTTTAGAAGGCAGTAACTTCTTTTCAATCATATAGTTCCCACTCAAACAGGGTTCTTTTCATTAAGTCTCCAGTGTCACATCTGCCTGCATCACAGAAATCCTGGCACCTATTGAATATAAAGCCCCGGCTATGTGGCCTGGGGTAACTTCTTTAACCTTGCCAAGCTCAGTTCTCCATTTACAAAGTGGGAAACAACAGGAATAGCTGCCTCTTCCTATTGTGGCAGGAAGTGAGGATAAGAGGACTGTGGAGTCTGAAGCCCAACGCCCGGACCATAGGCCTCACCTCCTGATGACGGACCATGCTGTCGACGCGGGCCTTCTCCTTGTCCAGCTCTGTGCTGGCCCAGCAGATCTGCTGGCTAGCCCCATCCAACCGCCCTGCCAGCAGCTGTACTTGCTCCTCCAGCTGCTGCACCTGCCTCTCAGCTGCTGCCCTCCGCTCACCTTCCTCCTCCAGCTGCTGGGCCTTTGCCTCTGTAGGATTAAGTGAACAGAAACAAAAGGGAGCCCTGGGTAGGAGTCTCTAAAACACCTCTGATTGGGACTAAGGGGAGGTCACGTCACAGATCTGAAGCCCAGATCACAACACAGGACTCAGGACCCCATGAAGGGGTTCTGGAATACAGAAGGCACTTTCTGCCCACTGATACTGTGACTCCAGTTGGGACCATCCTCAAAGCATAGAAAGTGAGAACCTCCCTCCTCTGGTTCCCACTCTCTTTGCTCTAGAAGCTTGGAATGGAAACAGAGGTACATGTCTGGTTATACAATGAGTTGGAGATGTGGATAGGGGTCACATAAAGAGCCTTCTTACCCATGGCCTGCATGGACTTCTGATGCTGCTTCAGGTCTCCCTCTAGAATGGCCACCTTTGTCTTTAGGTCACACGTTTCTATAGCAGCCAAGAGAGAGCCCTTTCAGAGGATCACTTGGGCCCATGGCCTTTAAGCCCAGTGTAGCCTGTATAGTGAAGGCAACCATCTAGTATGTAGGGGCTGCTTGAGTTGTCAAGGGAGGCCTGGGGTAATCCTAGGGGGCCTTGGGCCCTGACATGCTCCACAGGCTGGTTGCTGCCTTACCTATGGCTTTCTGGACCCAGTGCTCTCCATGGAGATAATGGTGAGACTCAGAAAGGACAGTGACTTCTTGCCCTAAGCCCTCAGCTAGCCACAGTGGGCTCCTTCCTTTTGCCTAAGAGCTTTTGCCAAAGTCAAGAAGCTGCCCTGTTAAGGCAGGGGTCTTCACCTGCAATGAAGTTAGAGTAACACCCCAGCCCTCTCCCCTTCTGAAGGGACAAGTCTAAGGCTGGGGCCCAGGAAGTATTCCCTAAGAGAACAGAGCTCCAGCTGCTCAATGTCACCAGCTGGATGTCTACACCCTTCCTGCTGCCTTCCTGTCCTGGAACGTCTGGCCATTCCCCAGCCTGGGTTTCTTCCATGCAGACTATTGGGACTCAAAGCCTGGTCTCTGAATGGGAGGAGGGATGGTCATCTTAAGGTCATGCCAGTGTCTGGCCTCTGGGGAGTAGACCTGTGAGCAGCTGATGCCTGTCATGCTCGCACTTGGCCAGGGTCCGTTCAGCCTCCTCTGTCTGCCGCTGCCGCTCCCCTTGCTCCTGCTGCAGGGTCTGCTCCAGCTTGCTCACCTCCTTCCTCAGTTCATCCTTCTGCCCCTCAGCCTCTTCCAGCTGGGCCCTGAGGGGCCCAACAAGCTGGGTGAGGGCCCCCACATGTTTATTGAGACGAGTCAGGTCTTTGCTCTGCTCTGCTGCCCAGTGGCCCACGGTGGCAGCTGACAGTGGTTTAAGCCCCAGGCTGTCCTTCACCAACTTCTGGAACTGGCCCAATGATGAAGGCAAGTTTTGGCTCTGACATAGGCTGATAACCACCTTGCCCACTTCCCACAAGCTGCCCTGGACACTGGTGCAAGCATCACAGGGCACCAAGGCTGTCTCGACGGTCTGGGAGTGGACACTCTTAGTTTTCTCAGAGGTCCCACCTGGGCTCCGCAGGGAGACTCTGACAGGGATGCTCTGCAGCCCTTGGCAGATCAAAGGCAAGCCTGGCACTGGGGAGGGAGGCTTGATAAACTTGGCAGTCATACATTCAGGGCTCCTGGCTGGTTCACCCTTAGCCGTGGGCTTGGTGATGGAAATCTCCCCTTGGTTTGCTCTTTTCTGGGGTCAGGAAAAGAAAGGGAAGGCAGGTGAGAGACATAGGCATAGGAGGTAACCACCTCCTGGAGATATTGGTGACAGCCTTGCCCAATGCTTAGATCTGCAGATGTTAAGTAAACTTGCATAAATCACAGAGAACCTTCCCTTTTTCTCTCTGACTCAAACAAGGCCTGGCCTCTTTTCTGCTCTCTCTGCTCCCACCCTAGGCTTTTCCTGGTTCAATATGCAGGGAACTGAATGGGTACTAGTGTCAGTTACAGCTACTGCTGATGGGCTCTTGCCCACTCTCAGGCTACTCTAACCTCTCTGTACTAGGCTCCTCTCCCTCGCAGTGACGTGTGCTTTCTCACAGGCTGACTGTGAGAGATTTGATACCTTGTTATCAAACCCGGCTCATATAAAACCCATAGATGAACACACTGAGGTTCAGAATGGTTAGGCATTTTCTAAAATCTCCTTGCACAAATGGCAAAATCGGAAAACTAGACACGACTTCCAAGGCCTGCTTTCTTAACTGTAAAGCCAGCAGGTCTTGAATGGGAGATTCTAGAGTTTGAATGTTCCATGTGGGCAATGAGGAACCGGCAAAGGATGGGGTACATGAGGTGGTGTGGTAAGAAGCTAGAATTGTAACAGTATGTGAGGGCACCAGAGTTAGGGCTGGGATGACCCACCTGGGGAGCCGCCTGCTGGTAGAGCATGCCCAGCCTAAGCAGGTTGCTCCAGAAACGCCTCACTGTAAGCCCCACAGACATGCATGGCCCTGTAGCCCGGGCAGGAGGCATCATCTGCTCCAAACTGAGGTTTTCCACGTAGCTGGCACAACTCTGAAGCAGCAGCAGGAGCCTGTGGGCAGAATTGCTAGGGTGGGCTGAGGCCAAGGTTGGGACTAATACAGTCTTCATATAACTGGGGGCTTTGAGTCCTCGGGGATTGACCTGGATGTTAAGAACCTAGAGAGAGCCCATGTCAGCCTCATGTTCAACCCAGGAGCAACTTCAGATTCAACCAGGGCCCACTTCCCATAGGGTGCCCTCTGTGACTTCTTGGATGGCAGTGCTTTTTGTCGTGTGGTTCCCTAGTTGAGCAAGGAGCTGAGGAAATGCAGCCTGGGTCGGAAGGTTCTAGGTGAGTAGCTGCCTTACTTTACAGATGACAGAACTAAACTGGACGAGCGTCCCAATGTCCTGGGGCAAGCAGGGCAGGGCAAGGGCATGCGCACATTTTCCTGGTTCCAGTCAGAGGCACCTCCTTCAGGCTTAGCAGTCTTTGTGACAATTGAGAGTTGGGGTGAGGACAGCTAGGTCCCTTTATGCTAACCTCAAAGTTCAAGTTTAGGGTAAGCGTGAATGTTAGAGAACACAGGTGTTGGAAAGTATACATTTTAATGGCCAAGACTTGCTTTACAGGCAGAACTGTGTTTGTAACACACACCTGGAAGGTAAGGGGTTGGGATAGGGGTGGCCTTCCAACCCTGAGGCCTTGAGAGGAGGTACCCACTGCCTCTGGGTCCTACCTCTGGGCCATGTGAACAACACTGGGAACAGTCTGTGTTCTCTGACTGCGGCCTATGGTGGGAGATGCTGTGATAGATGTACCCGTAGCCAGGGGCCCACCATTGATATATCCTGAGCATCTCAAAATGCTACACTGTTGGATAGAGGCCATGGCCTTTCCTCTAGGGTTGCCAGACTGAGCTTAGATTTGGTGGCTCCTGGCAGGAGTTACTTTTATACACAGGGGTCACTTATACACAAAGGAAGCTAGTACTAACTCAGAAGTAGGCAGAGCTCAGCTGGGGAGGGTGGGGGAGGTATGTCAGCAACACCTTTTACAGGAAACGGGTGAGTGATCAGGGCCTTGGTGGGTGAAGGGGAGCTCTGCTAGAGCAAGGCAGGCCTAGAGAGCAATGGCACAATGCCTAGCCCGGGGAGAGGAAGTGTTCTGCACTCATATCCAGCAGCCCTGTGGAGAGTGCAGGCACTGCTTTCCAGAGTGCTTCCAGTGGTCCCCTCCCGCTTTACTAGCATAGACAGGTTTTGAGTTCCAGATGCCTCTGCTGTGGTCCTCACAAGGAAACTCAAGTGATAGCATAGAGATAGTGGGGTGATAGGAAAGTAACTGGCCTCTTTCTAGCAGAGCCAGGGGTGGGGAAGACATCTCTCATTTCTGGCCCTGTGATGCAGGAAGAAGACAGCTTACAAGATGCCAGAGCCTAGGATGAAAATGCTATGCAGTAGTTACAGTGCTTCTGACCCACAGAAACCTGAGGTGAAAGCGGGCAGAGTTTGGTATTGTGGGAAGCAACAGCAGAAGGTAGAGCAGGGATAAGGACAAACAGTTCCTGAGGCAGACAGGATAGGGCGGCACAGCACAGTAAAACTCGAGATTTCGACATCTTTAGATGCCCAGGCTTGGTCCAGGCCTCACCTGTCAATGACCAGCTCCAGCAGCACAGCATGGGATAACTGTGTGAACTCAGGGTCACCTGGCACATGGTCATAGTGCTCCAGAAGGGCCACCATGTCAAGGTCACAGGCCACACGGTCAGGAAACTTCCAGGAGGGGAAGCGCACAGGTCCGGCACGGGAGAACACATCCACAATGGTACCCTGCAGGTCGGTGAGGTCCTTGCGCAGGCTGTCCATACAAGCCTGGCTGCCTAGCAAGTGTGCCATCCCCACAGCTCCTGGGGTTGAGAGAGGGACCATGGCCAGCCAAAGTGGTGTGGCTACTGCCAGGAGAATCTTATAAAACCCCTGTCCTGCCTAGGTGTTCCACATCTACCTCTGAATTTAGGAAGGAATCCAGAGTGACCCACCTTTTAGAACCTGGTTCTGGATGTCTTGGCCAGCCTCTCTTTCATTAACCCAGCCCTATGACTACCCTACCTATAGAGAACCTGCTTGCCCCAGGCCTCCCTTGTTATATGGGAACAAGGAGGAGTCTCCTACCTGTAGAGAAGAGAGGGAGCCCTGAATGAGTGAAGTCCTGAATAAATGTATGCTACTGACATGAGCACAGCAATATCAAGGACTGCAGAGCCTCAGACCCAAAGGGAATTGCAAGCCTTCCCTGAGGTACCGAGTATAAGTGTTGACACTGCATCAGCTAATGTCCACTACCACTTTCTCTTTGCTCCCTGCTGTGTCTCAGTGTAGCTGGCTGGTTATAATCCAAAGACTGCCCCACTTTCAGAGACTGCGCCTACCAAGATTAGCTTAACCTGTCTCCTTGATTCAGCTACCTCACCAAAACTGTGCCTCCTTGTTACCTATAGTAACCCTGCCTCCTTGTTCAGCTGTATGCGGTAACCGTCCCCTTGTTCAACTCTATCTAACAAACACACTATGCATCTGGGATGCTGTGGTTTCTCTCTCCTAACCTCAGCTTTTCTTTGTGTCTGTATTTTCTTCATCCCATCTCTGCTTCCAGTCAGGTCTAAGTCAGGAGCCATGATAGTAGACAGAGCCAAAACATATCACAGCTTCAGCATGACAGGGAGTGCTAGAGTCCATCCCCACCCCTCCTACCACCCCACTCCAGTGAGCACATGCACTGTGCGCTTTGAGCTCATTACTACATGACCTGGTCATCAAGTTTGAGACTAGCCTGGGCTCAAAGGTACTAGGAAACTCAGAGATACCCAGGGTGGTCTGTAGCAGACTCTGGGTTTCCTAGATTTCTTCTGCCCTTACCACTCACAGATGTTTGCCCATGAAGCTGGAGTGGCCGACTCTGTCCAGCTTTTGGACTAGGCTGTGAGGTCTGGAACTCATGCAGGTGCCTGGCTTTCTGACTCCTGGCTTCCTGGTTCAGGGCTGGCCGCAAGTGGCCCTCCCATCCCTGGGAATGGATACAAAGGAGAGTGAATGAGGACTCAGTCAAGAAGGTGTCCTTGACGATTGGGTGGTAACATCTGTACAAAGAAGAGCTGCCCCAGGTTAGAGGAAGGGGATGAGGAAAAGACTGGGGAAGATACCACCTTCAGCCCATCCGGAGTGGGCGAGCGTCAGTGCTGCCCCTTCCCCAAAGCTGCCCCTTTTATATAGAAGGGTGAACGCTGTGAGTCCAGAGAAGCCACTCAGGCAGGAGAAATTTATAGTCTAGCATCTTTCTTCTATCCTTAGGTCATGCTATTTCTAGAGCAGTGGTGTCCAAAAAGCAAAAACAAACAAACAAACAAACAAGCAAAACCTCTAACAATGAATGGCGACTTGGAAACTGAGAAAATAGCAGAAGCACAAGGCTACTTTCCTGTCCCCCTCCCCAGCCCCTGAAAAGGCTATAAAACCAGGAGCTCTGACGGCCTTCCCTTCTTCACTGAAGACCTCATATGGTAAGCATCCTCTGGAAAATCTAAGTGGTAAGGTATATCACAGGAGAAGGAAAAAACAAAACCCTGGAGTCAGTGAGATAGCTCAGCAGGGAAAACACTTGCCACCAAGGTTGACACCCTGAGTCTGACCTGTGGAACTCATCCTACAGTACAAGGAGAGCATCAATTCATAAAAGTTGTCCTCTGACATCCACACACGCATGTGTACATGCACACATGCACACATACTATGTTAGTAAACATATAGTTTTTAAAAAGAATAAAATTGAACAGTCTATTTTGGTTTGTGAATTGCGCACAGGCTTATGGACTGGTGGCTTGGTTACCCATTAGTGAACAATGGGGACATGCTCTTAACTGCTGAGTTCTCTCTCCAGCCAGGCTTTTTTTTTTTTTTTTTTTTAAAGACAATTTGGTGGTGCACATGATAGCCCATGACTTCAAGTCTAGCATTCAGGAGGCAGAAGCTGAAGCAGGTAGATCTTTGCTAGTTCAAGGCCAGCCTGGTTTACAATGTGAGTTTCAAACAGAGAAATCCTGTTTCAAAAGACCAAAAACAAAACTCCAGTCTTCTTAGCTGGCCTGGACCTTGAGGAGGACCACTTTCAAGACTTTCAGGTTCCAAACTTTATGCTCGCATTTCCCAAGTGCTGTAATTAATTATAGGTGTGCACCATCATATCCTACAGATGTTGGGGATTGAACTCAGGATTTTGTGCAAGCTAAGTAAACACTGTACTTATTGATCTAGACCTTCCAGTCCTTTAACCTTTTCTTTAAAATGTATTAAGCCACAAAGTCAAGTGTTTATTTGACCCTCATGGTAACCTCAATTTGTAGCAGAGAGTATTTTTTTTTAAATGTATATATTTTTTGGTGTTTTGAAACAGTGTTTCTCTACATAGTCCTGGCTGTCCTGTAACTCTCACTATTTAGACCAGGCTGGCCTCAAACTCACAGAAATCCACTGTCTCTGCCTGTTAAGTGCTGGGATTCAAGTTTGCCACCACACCTGGTCCTATTTGAAATACTTGAAAACTACTTGGGGCTGGCTGGTGGTTAAAGTACATTGTAAAGGCTTTGTGTTCATCAATAATAAGATTGAATGTCTACTACCTGCTAGGGTCAGGCAGGGAATGGTGACACAAGCCTGCAATCCTGGCACTTAGGAGGGTAAGGCAAGAGGAACAGAAGTTCAAGGGTAGCCTGGGCTATAAGAGTGAAACTGGGGAGGAAGGGAGAGAGATCTTTCAGGAACACTAACAATATCTGAGTTTCCCTACAAGGAATAATACTCACATCTAAACAAACACTTAACATGTATCTCCCATGTGTTGGCTTAGCAACTGCCTCTGGGGAGATAGTGCAGCCCAGGAGATTTTGTCCTCAAGGAATGAAGTGGAGACAATGGGGATAGCAACAATGAAAGCAAACATCCTGGAAAGGCCATGAAGGAAATAAAGCAAGCAAGAAATCCCAATCTGGGAGAAGCATATTCAGGAGGCAAAGCACTTTAAACTCCCGAGCGCCAAAAAATATTGATCTGTTTACTGGGGCCACCTTAGATACCAATTCCCATGAGATTTTGGATCAAAAATATTCAAAGTTAAGTAGAAACTACGGCTCGACAGTAGGGACTTGCTTAATGTATGAAGAAGCCCTGGGTCAATCTTCAGCACCAGAAACATGAGCACACACAGAATATTCAAGGTTAATTTCTATCAATTCCTTTAAAAACAGAGCATATGTGTCAAGTGGAAGAGCTTATGACATGGACTTTCTCTGTAATTTCTAGTGCACCTGTGACCGCACAGGTGCTGACTCTAATGGAACCAACATTATCATGAAAGGGGCAGCAGCTAATAATGTTATTTGATGTTTTCTGATTCCCAAAGAAGAGTAGGAGCCTTTCCTTCTCTCTATTCAACCCTCAAGTCCCCCTCTCTCAAACAACTAATGCCACACCTGAAGCCCGTGCTTCTTTCCCAGTCAGTATGCCCACGAAGTCACCACTAAGAAAAGAGTTTTGAAACTCTAACCCCACCTACATGGCAATTTCCTGTCTCTGACTGTCTTAGGTAGGATTTTACTGCTGCAAACAGACACCATGACCAAGGCAACTCTTATAAGGACAACATTTAATTGGGGCTGGCTTACAGGTTCAGAGGTTCAGCCCATTATCATCAAGGTGGGAGCATGGCAGCATCCAGGCAGACATGGGGCTAGAGGAGCTGAGAGTTCCGCTTCTTTTTCCAAATGCAGCTAGCAAAAGACTGGCTTCCAAGCAGCTAGAAGAAGAGTATGAAAGCCCATGCCCACTGTGGCACACCTAATCTAACAAGGCCACACATACCTCCTAATAGTGCTACTCCCTGGGCAAAGCATATACAAACCATCACATTCCATTCCCTGGCTCCCATAGGCTTGTTCAAACATATGAGTCTATGGGGGCCACACCTAAACAACATAATGCAAAATACATTCAGTCCAACGTCTAAAGTCCCCATACTCTATAGCAGTCTCTCTCAACAATGTTCAAAAAAAAGCCTAAAGTTCAAAGTCTCTTCTAAGATTCAAGCAGTCTCTTAACTGTAATCCTTTATAAAGTCAGAAATACTGGACCAAAGCAAGACAGAAAACCAGCTGGGCAAACTCCAAAGTCCATGTCTCCACATCCAACGTCAAAGTATCCTTCAGATCTTCAGCTCCTTTCATCCTTGTTGACTGCTGTTGGCAGACCTGGCATTCAGCAGCAACAAACTCCATTCTCTTAGGCTGCTCCCACTCCCTGTTAGCAGCTTTCCTCGGCAGGAATCTCACAGTTCTGGCATCTCTCTAACATCTTGGGGTCGCTAAGGCAACTTCAACTTTATAGCTTCTTATTCCAATGTCTAGGATCCACACATGCTCTTCTGGGCTCCTCTAAAGGTCTGGTGTCACTTCTCCATCTTTGCCCTCTGTAGCACTCTAGGCTCTGCTTGACTCCACTCCACTGCTGCTGCTGTTCCTGGTGATCATCCCATGGTACTGGCATCTCCAATACACTGGGGTCTTCAACTGCAACTAGGCTTCACCAATAGCCTCTCACAGGTTCTCCTCATGGTGTCAACCCTCAACTACTTTGACCCCTTCAGTCTTGGGCTATCAATTGTAACGGAGGCTGCAGGTTCACCAATGGCCTTCTATGGCCTCTCATAGTGCCAAGCCTCAGCTGCTCTTCATGATCCCTTTATACCTTCAAAACCAATACTACCTGGGTAATTCTTATACATTGCCAAGTACAGCTACAGCATGAGATACAACGTTGGTTATCTCTAGAATACAGTTTCTTTGTGCTGGACTCAGATCTGCTTGGCTTTGTCTCCTGGAATTAAAGGTGTTAGCACCATGTCCTGTGCTCTGTAAGGAGGGATCCGGAGGAGGTGGTGCTGAACCGAAAATTGGGACTAAAGGTGTAGTTGAGTGGGGCTCTATGGCAACGGGTCTAATGGGAGGAGAATTCTTCAAAATGACAGTCCAAACAAGGAAAGAAGACAGGGGACTGAGGGGCAGAGGAACCAGCCAGAGTCGGGAGGGGAGTTGAGCAGATGATGTAGAATGGCTTACCTGTCTTCGGCGTCGCAGCCTCAGCTCTGTGTCTGGCTGGCTCACAGAACTTCCTCCAGAGCGCCTGTGGCTCGGAGGACCCCTCGAAACTCTAAGCTAGGCGCCCAGGCCGCTGCCATGGCAACAGCGTACCGCGCCACCGTCCACGCGGGGCGGGGCTGGAAGTGCGACATGGCAGGGGGCGGGGCCGGAAGTGCCTCCGCGGCTTTTCTCTGGGTCGCCGCCATCTTGCCATTGAGTTGGAGGCTCCGTGTGGAGAGCTTAGGTTTTTTGTCGCACCGGTTGTCGCCACCGAGGCGGACTGGCAGCCCTGAGCGTCGCAATCATGCAGGCCGGACCCGTGCAGGCGGTACCCCCGCCGCCGCCAGTAGCCACTGAGTCCAAACAGGTACCGTGTCCCGTGCTCCTCCGCCTGCAGTCCTGCTGTAGGCCTCGTTCCTCCCCTCCCGCGCGGGCGCTTTGGCACTCCTGCTGGAAGCTCAGGCCACCCTGAAGGACTTGGAGGGACTGCAAGTCCCAGGAGTCAGCGCGCTGCCTTACCTTCTGGTCTCAAAAAGAATTCCCTAAACCGAACTTTTCAAAGCTAGCCTGCAGATTTGCAGCTTCGGCTCCCTCTGGGGCTTGTTTGAACCACAGAGCCTCTATTCTAAAGAGGAGAGCCAAGAAAACCATTCTTTTCCCTAGATTAGGAATGGCTATATAAATACAATATGGTTAAGAAAACTTGCCTTGTTTTGTTTTTAACTGCTTCCTCAGATGCTAACCCAAGAGAGTCTGCAGTCTGCAGGACAGACATTCCTGTCAGTAGTATCATGGAGAAATGCTGAGGG